GAAAAGGCAGAAAAATTATAGGCGTAGGAATGTGCATTGCTACAGGAATGCATTTGTCTGCAATTCTTCAAACAAATTATGGCCTTTTCTGGTGAAGAAAGACAGCTGCATAATCTCCTCCTCAAGGTTGCTGCTGCTGTGCTCGCTTTTCTTGGCCAGGTTGTTCATACTGGGTGTGGGAGGGCAAAGTATGTGAGTCGGAGGCAGGCCCACTCCCTTTCCATGTGAGGAGACCAGACTTTGTAACTAAGGAACCTCACTGTTAGATGGGAAATGATGTGATAATTGCATCTGGTATTTTGGAATATTTGAAACAATATAATGAAAAACAATCAAGAATACGTCTTCATGTAGAAAAGTCCTTTGTCTATTTGGACTTAGCAAAAAACCACAAGCAGGATTAGGGATCCACACTGTTCAGGTTTGCACTAGAAAGGCAATTTATGCATACATATCTAAGAAGGTCTACCATTTATTTGGATTATGACTCAAATGGTCCTTGCATGATATTTTAGATAACTATAGGAAGCCCTCAATTTATTAGAGTTCATATAGTGATTATTCAAAGCTATAGAAGCACTGAAAAACGTGAGTTATGACCATTTTTCACACTTATGAACAACGTCCTGATGGTCACCTGATCAAACTTCAGATGCTTGGCAACTGATTCATGACAGCCTCAGTGTCCCTGGGTCATGTGATCACCTTCTGTGAGCTTCTGAGAAACCAGGCGAAAGGGGAAGCCAGATTCATTTCACAACCTAACTTAACAATTACAGTGATTCAGTTAAGAAATGTCACAAGAAAACTTGTAATATGGGGAAAATACACCACTTAATAACTCTCTCACTTAGCAACAGAAACGGGCTCAATTGCAGTAATAAAGGGAGGACTACCTAAATTTCTCTTGCAGCTCTACCCACAATTCTTGATATGGTTTCTCCCACGTGTGGTTCCTTCTATGGCAAGTAAGAGCATTACTTCCTGAAAAGCTCTTTCCTCACTACATGCATATGGTTTCTCACCTGTATGGATTCTTTTATGAGAAGTGAGATCACAACTCTAAGGTCCTCTCCACATTCCACACATTTATATGACTCCTCTTCCATCTGGCTCCTCTTGTGGGAAATAAGACCATTACTATGAGTAAAGATCTTTCCATACTCCATGCATTGATACGGTTTCTCTCCTGTGTGAATCCTATTATGGGAGGTAAAATGACTACCCTTCCTAAAACCATTTCAACGCTCCATGGTTCGATATGGCTCCTCCCCTGTGAGGAACCTCTTGTGGGAATTAAGATGACAGCTATGAGTAAATGTCTTCCCACACTACATTCATTTATAAGGTCTTTCTCCTGTGTGATTCCTCTGATGGATTATAAAAGACTTTGAATTACAGAAGGTCTTTCCACACTCCATGCATTGATACGGTTTCTCTCCTGTGTGGATCCTCTTGTGGATATTAAGAGAAGTGTTACGAGTAAAGGTCTTTCCACACTCCATGCATCGATATGGCTTCTCTCCCGTGTGAATCAAGTTGTGGGATTTAAGGCTACTGCTACAAGTAAAGGTTTTTCCACATTCCATGCATTTATAAGGTCTTTCTCCTCTATGATTTCTCTGATGAGTTTTAAGAGTCTTAGAATAACAGAAGGTCTCATTACACTCCATGCATTGATACGGTTTCTCTCCTGTGTGGATCCTCCTGTGGGTATTAAGATTATCACTCTTCCTAAAACTCTTTCCACACTCCGTGCATTGATATGGCTTCTCTCCTGTGTGGATCAAGTTGTGGGAATCAAGACTCCTGCTAGAAGTAAAGGTTTTTCCACACTCCATGCATTGATAAGGCTTCTCTCCTGTGTGGATCCTCTGATGGCTTATAAGAGTGTTATAATAACAGAAGGTCTCATCACACTCCATGCACTGATACGGTTTCTCTCCTGTGTGGATCCTCCTGTGGGTATTAAGATGACTGCTATGAGTAAAGGTCTTTCCACACTCCATGCATTTATACGGTCGTTCTCCTGTGTGGATCCTTTGATGTCTTATAAGATAGTAATTATAAGAGAAGGTCTTTCCACACTCCATGCAGGTAAATCGTTTCTCTTCTGAATGTGACTTTTTATGAGAAACGAGATGATCGGATTTATTATACTTCTTTCCACACTCCATGGATTTATATGGTCTTTCTCCCGTATCAATCACTGTATGGTTAGGAAGCCAACTGACCAGAGGAAGACTTCTTTTAATTCCACTTTGTGATTGTTTTGTTTCATCACTCTTTGGTTGCATATGATCCACAAATTTCCTTCCCCCGCCTTTCAAATGGATCACTTGGCGCTCCTCCTTGCAATTCTTATTCTCTTGTCCACTAAAGCCTTGAAAAAGAAAAAATGAGAACTGTAACAAGGATAAGGGAACAATCAAAACTTTTATTCTGAAATTTAGCCAAAGAATCATCAATATATTTCATCTGTTTTGTGGGCAAACATGAAAAGTCAGGATAAGATAATAGCAAAGACCTATTTCAAAGTCTATCCCTAATGATTCCCATACAATAGGATTGGATCACAGCTCTTACCTAATCTTTTACCTGGGACAATTCCATGGTGCCACAAACTCCCAGAGTGCATTGGATACTGTGTCATGCTGGGGCAGGAACATACTAAGGACTTCCTAACTTCAATCAAAGTCTCAGCTCCACTTGTCTGCAGAGCAGAATCTTTGAAAGCCAAAGGGCATTTCTGGATGAAAATAGCTCCCCACCCTCAACTTAGGCTAATGCCAAACTTGGTACACAAGTGGGCATATCTCTAAGAAGGAAACAAACCTCTCAGAGGTCATCTGGTCTTGGTTATAGCAGCTTAGGGCTATCAGGAATCCAGTGACCAGGTTCAGGAGGGAATAGTGAATCCTGGTAGCCAGAACCTTCCTCAGTACATTCGGCCTCTTCCTCAGAGTCTTGCTAATGTCTTCCATGAAATATTTGTTGTATTTTATGAGCAGAAACTTATTTTTTAAAAAAACACAATTTCCTTCATGCAAAAAGCCACTCTATGCAATTTTCCAATTTTTCTTTCAATAAATTTCCTTCTTTCATAAAGTCACTTTGGTCAAAAGGTTAAGACACCAGGCTAGATACCAATAAATTTACACACATTTCTAAAATGTTGTTTTCATTTTCTCATTATTGGGTACCAGTGGTGGAATTCAAATTTTTTTACTACTGGTTCTGTGGGCATGGCTTGGTGGGCGTGGCAGAGGGAGGTTACTGCAAAATCTCCAATCAGAGGTGTATTTGCCGGTTCTCCGAACTACTCAAAATTTCTGCTACCGGTTCCCCAGAACTGGTCAGAACCTGCTGAATACCACCTCTGTTGGATACCCAGTGTTGATTAATGAGAAAAAAATGAATTTCAACAATTGTAGAATTAGGCTGCAGCATGACAAAATTGACAAAATGAAGGGAGGCTGAATACCTTCTGAATGCACTCTATATCTTTCTGTTATTTTTGTAAATAATAAAGGCAGCAGACAAACCCAATATTCCTTCCTCCTCCTGTTTTCCCTACAACAACTCTGTGAAATTGGGTTTGGCCCAAAGTCACCCAGCCAGCATTCATGCCTAAGGCAGGACTACTATTCACAGTCACCCAGTTTCTAGCCTGGTATCTTAACCATTTGACCAAACTGACTTTATAAAAGAAGGAAGTTTATTCAAGGAAAAATTTGAGGTCTGCATAGCCTCCCTTATTACATAAAAGAAATAGTTTATTTTTAATGTTTCAGCTCATAAAATAGAAAATACTCATTTCAACAACTGTAGAATCCTGCAGCAGAATAACAAAATTGAAAAAGTGAAGGGGGTCTGAATACTTTCTGAATGCACTGTGAGTAAATGATTTTTTTAAAAATCAGAAATAACATTCAAGGCCCTACTCTACATTCTTGATCATAGAAAGGCTTTCTTACCCAGAGAAAACAGATTCCTGGAATTCTCCAGCATGACTTCTCTGTAGAGCTCTTTTTGGTCAGTATCCAGTTGAGACCATTCCTCCTTGGAGAAATACACCGCCACTTCCTCAAAAGAAACAATATCCTGAAAAAGGACACAAGGTTCCTTATTAACAGAAAATCCCAAGAAAAATGGGATAATTTTCCTCCACCAATTCTAGGAAACAGATCTATTGGGGAAAAAAAGAGAATCTTCTGCAGAATTAAGAATAAGATCTCATCGCTTTTGGCTAATGGCACAACCAAATCATGTTTGATCAAGCTGGAAGTGTTTGGAATGCCTTACAGTATAACCAATTAAAATATTCTTGGTCAATTGATAGATGGGTCTTAAAACCACTACTTATCAGTGTCTCCCATTCTTCCTAGGATGGGCAGAGCAAAATACTGGCAAAATCCACCTGAGATGTTTTCCAATGGCTTACTTTATCCCCTGAGGGACCAACATACCCAAATTCCACACCTTCATGAAGGAATTGGAAGAGCTTGTAACAGAATATATTACAGAATCTCTATATGTCTATAGAGATTCTCAATCATCAGTTGTCCCAAATATGCTTTTTAAAAGGCAAAAAAGGGTATGTTTTTTATAATGTGAGACTAACCCTGGGAGACAGAAGGAAGTGCCCTGATGCTGACAAGTCTGGTAAATAAAATCTAATGGTGAAGCAGGACGGGTGGAGAAGGAATCTCACAAAGGATTGGGGCTGTCTCGGTCTACCCAATGCAAAGAGGAAAAACTGGGCCAGCCTGGCTTAGGCCTGGTCTACCCTACACGAAGAAAAAGCAGCAGTTGGGGGAGTGGTGTCAAACTAGCCACGCCCACCCAGTCAACCATGACTGCCTGGCCCCCCACAAGGTCAATCACAACCCTAACCCTGTTTCTGAAAAAACCTGGGAGACGGAAGAAAGTGCCCTGATTCTGACAACAGTCTGGTCAATGAAATCTGATCTAGAAGCTTTTCTGATGTTTCTTCTTACCTGAAGGAGCGGTTCAGTTCCAGCACAAAGAAGTGATTCTAAAAAGTCCAAGGACAGCTTTCTACTCTCTATGAGAAAGAGAAAAATAGCGGAAGCAGATGTGTTAAAGAGACAATAAAGTGGAGCGAAAGAATCAGCTAAATGTTGAAATGTCACCTCACACAGAAAAAGCTTTTCTTACCTTGTGCAGCGTCTTGACTTTGATCTTCCCGGAAGTTCTCCCTGAAGAGCAGCTCTTGAGAAGATCTGAATGAAGCTTTCCTCCCCTTGGGATACTCAGTCACAGCTTCCACACATTTCTGGACATGATGTGATACGAGAAACAAAGGAAGAGCATAGAGATAGGAATGAATTATCATAGTGCACCTCCAAACTAGCAGCCTCCAATGTCCATTGTTGAAACTCGAAACAGAATGAAAAAATTGCCCCAAATACATCCCTGGAATAATAGAACAAATTCCCTTAGGAGTTAATAATCCCAGAAAACTCTGCCTGGGAGAAATTGACAAATCTGGAGAGATCCTCTTTAGAGCTGCCATGATTACATTCTCCCACCTGCAACTCTTCTTGCATGTTTTCCTCCTCCTGACTCAGCAAGAAGCCTTCAGCCAGGGACACCGCCTGGGAACTGGTCTCTGCTCCACACTCCCGCACCCATTTTGCCATCTCTGGGGGAAGCACAGCCAGCAATTGTTCCAGGAGCACCAGGTCCAGCATCTGAGCCTTGGTGTGTTTTTCTGGTTGCAGCCACTGACGACAAAGGTAGTGAAGCTGTGTGCAAACATCTCGGGGGCGGCTCCCCTCCTGGAACTGCACTTTTCTGAAGCGACAGCACTGGACCTCTGAACTGTTGGATGCCTCTTCGTGGCTCTTCTGCCCAGGATTCATTGCCAAATTCCTCCCACAGCTCCAAGGCAGAGCAGCCGGAGGGCCTTTTCTAATTTCGGCATCTACTGGGGGTTGTCCCTCCATCTTCTCTCTGGTCTCTAATACAGCTCCAAAATGGACCCTTGGATCTCCGCAGGTCTTTCTGTTCACAAGAGGTCTGGCGAAATTTTCCAAGGCCATTCAGCTCTCTTCCCAGACAAGATACTTAAAACTCCAGAAGAACCAGAAAATATTTCCAGCTTACATACCTGAAATTGAAAAGATATAATTCAGGGTGTTTTCTAAGGTGATTAATTGAACTACTGAGCATCCTTATCAAAAAAGGAAGGGAAGGGAAAGGAGAAGGAAAATTAAAAAATAAAATAAAATTGGATGAACCTACCAATGTCTGGGAGGGCGGGAAATCTTATTAATTAGCTTGCTCTCTCTAGATATGGGGAGAATTGCAGAGAGCCCTTCAGGATTAATTGTCTATCAAAATATTAGAAAAATACATATAAATGTGTTTTTGATTTCTACTTCCTAGCTTTTATTAAAATGTATTTTTTATTTTTATGTCTTCTGTGTTATGATTATTATGATAAATTACTCTAGGCCGAATTATACACAATGCTCCTTCTTACTATTTCCCCCCAAAATTCCTGTGAGGTGAATTGGGCTGAGAGTTGGGATGGGCTCAAGGCTTTCATGCCAAACGTTGGACTAGAAGTTAATCTCTTGGCCTTGCGCTTTCATCGTTGAACTAAATGGCTCTCTATGACTAACCGTCTATCAGAATATTAGAAAAATACATTTAATTATGTTTTTGATTTCTACTTCCTAGTTTTTATTGAAATGTAATTGATTCCAAATGGCTCTGTAGGACTATAATTTCATTTCATATAATTTAATAGACAGTTTGATTTCATTTCTATGGCTGTATAGTTAAGAGCAACTATTTGCATTTTCCAAATCATAAATGTCTCAGGTCACAATTGATATGAGGGACTCTTTAAATCCACTTAATAAGTAAATAAACCAAATAGGAGTTCAACACCCAGGCTTTACAAAGGCCAAGCACGACAAACACTGGCCTAATCATAGTCTGTTATTTTCAGCCCAAGGGGCACCTCCCTTCTCCAACATCTTCATCAACCGGGCAGCAGAACCAAACCGGTGACAGCGGGCAAAGGCAGGAAAGCAGGAAACCGAGTTCCAGCCCTTGCACGCCTTGCACCCAACTCCTTGCACTCGCAGTTGAAGCCTTGCACGCAAAGCCAGCCGGAAGGGCTTACGACCGCTCGCTTATCCCGGCCTAAAATGGGGGAGGCGAGGAAAACCCCCTTTCTGAAAATGGAGCCAAGAAATGTGCAGGAAACGGTGCAGGAGTCAAGGCTGACTTGGGAGGCACAAATCTCTGTTTTGCAAAGACGACCTCTCCTCCTCTCCCGCCCATGAGGAGCTTTTCCCGTCGAAATGCAACCTAAATCTTCTTCTCTGCGACCCTGGTTTCTTCCCCCCTCCAGGGGCAAACCCGAAATTTTGCTTTCCGCCCCGCCTTGCCCACAGGGGCGGCAGGGGAACATGGGACTACCCCTTCCCACGTCTCCAAGCCTGATGGAAGTTTTGCATGTCTCCCATGCGAGTCTCCAGCACGGGAGAGAATCCCCCCCCCCAATCAATGAACCCCGACTCACATCTGGATCTCCAAGACTTCCCTGCAGCCTCTTCGCTTCCTAGAAAAGCTTGACCCAAAGGTAGAATCGGGCACTGTGGAAAGAGCGGACACGCTTTCAAGCCTTTGCTGGAAAATTCCCAGGGAAACACGTCTCTCTCCTGACTCGGAAAAGTTGGCGCATGCTCAGTTCTCCTGTAAGGCGGGGAGGGGGCGGGAGGGAGCTGCCCGGCTCTTCTATGAAGCCCCCTAGAGGATCCTGTGCGCATTGCTAGAAGACCCTGCAAGGGCGGAAGACAGGATGTCCCATGCGGGTCTGGGATGATGGGCATTAAAGTTGAAGGAAAGGTTCCCTCTAACCAGTGGTGGGATTCATTTTTTTTTTTTACTACCGGTTCTGTCGGCGTTGGCTTGGTGGACGTGGCAAGGGAAGGATACTGTAAAATCTCCAGTCAGAGGTGGTATTTGCCAGTTCTCCGAGCTACTCAAAATTTCCGCTATCGGTTCTCCAGAACTGATCAGAACCTGCTGAATGCCACCACTGCCTCTAACATTGCCTATTCAGAAAGGAAGTGGCCTCTCCAGCAGGCACCAGTTTCTAGATTTTCCTCTTTTTAATCTCCTAAGAAGCATCTGTAATCTTGTGAAGATTGAGAAAATCTCTGTGGAGACTCAAAACTCCTTTTCCTGAAGAGCAGCTTCTCTGAAGGGTCTCTAGGGATTCCCAGAAGGCATCGAAAATGAGCAAAATCTTGTCAGAAATGGCAGGGCGGTCAAAAGACAAGGAACGAAAGTCTCTCTACGAAACCCAGCCTGTGTCTTGTGGCTGATGGCAAACTCAGCCCTGAAGTGAGGGGAGATCAGGGCGAGACACAGGGAGGAAAGCGACAGGTTGAACAAAATTAAGATTGTATTGGTTTTTTCCCCCATTTATTATAGCTGCCTTTTCAAGTTCATGCCTCTAGGTAGCCAAGGAGCATTGGAAACACCAAAAGGCAGCCTGTAATAATGAAAATACAGGTAGTCCTCAATTTACAGTAGTTCATTTAGTGACCATTCAAACTTAGAATGGCACTGAAAAAAGTGACTTATGACCATTTTTCACACTTATGACCATTGCAGCATCGCTATGATCATGGTTGCATCCCGGGGATCATGTGATCCCCTTTTGTAACCTTCTGAACCTTCTGACAAGGAAAATCAATAGTGAAGCCAGATATTTTACTATTTTTAACAACTGCAGTGATTCAACTGTGGCATGAAAGGGTGTAATGTGGGAAAACACACTTAACAAATGTCTCACTTAACAACATACCTTTCTGGCTCAATTGTGGTCGTAGGTAAAGGGCTACCTGTGATACTAAAGACAAGATTCTGATGAAAAAGAGGCATCAAAAGAAAAGTTCCAAAATGGAGAGAAGGCTCAAACTTGTGGGCCTTTTAAATTTTTTTACCTCAAAACAAGGTGCTATGATGGAGAAATGAAGATTGGGAGAATAAAATTCTCATATGCAACTGTATATGGAATTAAAAATTATGAAACGAAGGCAAATACTGAAAAATAAATATAAAGCTCAAATACCACATGAATAGTTTTATTTATATCTTGAGTAGGAAATATGCCTCAGGAAATATAAGCAGGAACCTTTGGTACTAAAGAATGTACTTTTTTTTCTAGCCAAAATAATGAAGCTTTCACTGATTTGAAAAGATTATTCTGGATTTGGAGGTGGCAGTGCAAGAAAAAAAGCAAATTTAGCTACAATTAGTGAAAGAGAGTGTTGAAAGAAAAATCCAGTCCGGTTCCAAGCTGGTAGAAAGATGCTGAAATAAAATGGAGGCTGTTTGCAGGAAAGATCTGCATATACAAATACAGGTAAAGATCAGGTGTGTGTATATGGCATAAATTAAGGGGAAAAAAAGAGATCTCACAAACTGTTGAAGATGAGAATGTTTTTAATTGCTTTCTATTTTTTTCTTTCTATTTTCTTCTCCTTTTCTTTTATTTGTGTATGTCTTGTTGGTTGGTTTTAATTGTAAAATTAATAAAATTTATTTATTAAAAAAATGATCATGGATGGGTACTTTCAGACTTGCACCATTCAATTAATAAATTAGCCTATCCGGCCATGTTTCCTCCTATTGGATTACCTTGGAGGACTGACAGAATATTGTTGCTTTTTGTGTAATTGATTTCAAGTTGCCATGAGATTCCAAAAAACCCATGTAGGCCTCTCCAAACATAACCCACTTGTAATTGATAATCAGCCCAAAGTTCATTAACTACATAATTAGAAAGAAATCATACCATCTGCACTTAATTTAAAGCTACAGGTGCATGTCCCAAAAAATCCATTTTAGCTTTTGTTTGGGACAGGAAAGAAGAACTTGGTACCTTCGCTGCAGAAAAACTCTGGCATGTACATTTATAGGACTTTTCACCATTGTAGTTCCTTTCAGAGCTCTTCCTCTGAGGCTTCTTCCTGGACAGGAAGGCTGGACAGATCCCTAAAGGGCAATTAACATCATTGATGTCCACTGATACTCATGTTTTAGTTTTAACCTCCGACCTAGCAAAAACCACAAGCAGGATTTAGGATTCACCTTGTTCTGATTTGAACTAGAAAGACAATTTATGCATGCATATCTAAGGAGGTCTAGAATTTATTTTGATTATTACTCAAGTGGTCCTTGTGTGAGATTTTAGATAACTACAGGTAGTCTATGACTTACAATAGTTTGTTTAGTGAGGGTTCAAAGCTACACCACCACTGAAAAAAGTGACTTATGACTGTTTTTCACACTTATGACCATTCACTGCATTCCCATGGTCACCTGATCAAGCTTCAGGCGCTTTGCAACTCATATTTATGAGGGTTGCAGTGTCCCCGGATCACGTGATCGCCTTTTGTGATCTTCTGACAAGCGGAGGCAAGTGGGAAGCCAAATTCAATTAACCACAGTGTTACTAACTTGACAACTGAAGTGATTCACTTAACAAATGTGGCAAGTAAACTCGTAAAATGGATCCAAAGTTACTTAACCGTCTTGCTTAGCAACAGAAATTTCAATCGCAGTCATAAACTGAGGATTTCCCTTATTGCTATTGAAGCTTTTCCCATACTTCTTCAGCTGATACGGTTTCTCCTGTGTGTGGATCCTTCTGTGGCAAGTAAGAGCGTTACTCCTTGCAAAGCTCTTCCCACACTCCATGCATTCATATGGTTTCTCTCCTGTGTGGATCCTTTTATGGGAAGTGAGATCACAAATCCACCGAAAGCCCTCTCCACAGTCCGCACATTGATATCGTTTCTCCGTTGCATGGATCCTCTTGTGGGAATTAAGGCTACTGCTAAAACTAAAGCATCTTCCACACTCCTTGCATTTGTATGGCTTCTCCCCTGTGTGGATCCTTTTATGGGAAGTAAGGTCACAGTTCCACCTAAAGCCATCTCCACAGTCCACACATTGATAGGGCTTCTCTCCTGTGTGGATCCTCTTGTGGGAGTTGAGGTAACTGCTGTGAATAAAGGTCTTCCCACACTCCATGCATTTATATGGTTTCTCCCCTGTGTGGATTCTCTTGTGGGAACTAAGGTTACTGCTACAACTAAAGGTCTTTCCACACTCCATGCACTTATAAGGTCGTTCTCCTGTGTGATTCCTTTCATGACTTCTAAGAGAGTGATTATTACAGAGGGTCTTTCCACACTCCCTGCAAGTAAACTGTTTCTCTTCTGAATGTGTCTTTTTATGGGAAATGAGATGAGCAGATTTATTAAAGCTCTTTCCACACTCCGAGCACTTGTATGGTTTTTCTCCCGTATTAATGCTTGTATGGTTAGGAAGCCATCTGATCCAAGGAAGGCCTTTTATAATTCCACTCCGTGATTGGCTTGTCTCATCGCTGTTTGGCTGCATCTGATCAGCAAACTCCCCTTTTCCCTCTTTGGGATGGCGCGTTCGGCCTTCCTCCTTGTAATTCGAGGTATTATAGCCTTGAAAAAGAAAAACGAAAACTGTAGCAAAAATGGGGTAACGATCAAACTTTTTCTTCTGAAATTTAGCCAAAGAATCATCAATATATTTTGGCAAATGCCAAGGTGCCAAATGAAGATGTTATCAAATACCCATTTCTAAGTGGGCTCCTATGAATCCTGATATATTAGGATTGAATGACATCACAACAAACCAAAGACAAATCCCTGATCTAGTTTTTGTGATGACCTACCGGTAGGACAATTCCTTGGTGCCACGAACACCCAATGTTTTGGATACTATATCATGCTGAGCAGGAACATACCCACCAGCTCCCTAACTTCAATGAAGTCTCACCTTCACTTGCCTGCAGAGTAGAAACACTGAAAGTCAATAACCTTTCTGCAAGGTAATAACTCCCCACCCTCAGCCTGGATGGATGCCAAATAAGAGTACACAAATGGGCCCATTTCTGAGAAAGGAATGGGCACAAATGGATCTTTGATATGCATACCAATCTGGTACTTCATCCACCTTCAGACCATGGCTGTGGAGAGTCATACTACCGTAACTTTCAGTGTATAAGATGCACCCCCCAAAAAAAGTCTGTGCATCTTATACAGTGAATCTTGCTGAAGCCCCGCCCATACACTGGCCCCCCACCCTTCGCCCTCTACCTCCCAGCAATTGGCCTCCTTGCAGCAAACAGCCCGGTCAGCTTCAGCACAGCCTGATTTAGCACAAGCAGCTGATTGTTGGTTGGATCGGCCTCCCACGTAACCCATTTTTGGCTTCCGCATCCCATTTTCGGCCTCTGCACGCCCCGTTTTCAGCATCTGTGCACCCCATTTTTGGCCCATTCTGATTCCCACCGCCTGGAAAGGGCCAAAAATGGGGCGCGCAGAGGTCAAAAACAGGATCCTGAGGTCAAAAACGGGGTGCGCGGAGGTGGCGATGGCGATCCCTGCAGCCTGAACAGCTGATTATCGGTATTCCAGGAGGCCGATCCAACTGACGATCAGCTGCCCGTGCTAAGTCAGGCTGTGCAGAAGCTGACCAGGCTGTTTGCTGCAAGGAGGCAGAGGCAGATTTTTTTTTTTTTCGGGTTTTCCTCCCCCAAAGTTAAGTGCATCTTATAGTTTGGAGTGACTTATAGTTCGGAGCATCTTATAGTTTGGAGCGTCTTATAGTCTGAAAAATACAGTATTTATCAAGCTGGCATTCAATAACATTTGGCTTTGAATAGCAGCTCAGGCTACTCAGGCCCATCAGGGACCCAGGGACCAGGGTCAATATTAAGCCCTGGAAGGCAGGACCTTGCTCAAAGAAGGCCGCACCATCCCTATGTATAGCCTCTCCCTCAGATTCCTGCTAATATCTTCTATAGCGGGGGTCTCCAACCTTGGCAATTTTAAGCCTGGCGGACTTCACCTCCCAGAATTCTGGGAATTGAAGTCCGCTAGGCCTAAGGTTGCCAAGGTTGGAGGCCCCTGTTCCGTGGCATGGAAATGAGTATTTTTCATTTTATGAGCAGAGAGCATTTTGAAAGAAAGAGACTTCCTTTATGTAAAAAGGGAGCCTCTGCAGTTTTCCAATTTTTCTTTCAATACATTTCCTTCTTCCACAGAGAGCCATTTGATCCAATGGTTAAGGCACTGAGGCTAGAAACTGAGTGACTATGAGTACTAATTTTGCCTTAAGCATGAATGCTGATTTTTGGCCTATGTCCCTCAACCCAACTCAAGTCACAGGGTGGTTGTTTAGGAAAAACAGCAGAGAAAGAAGTATTAAGTATGCCTGCTGTCTTTTATTTACAAAAAAATAATAAAGGCAGGATAGAAATAAGTGATTTTTTCCCCCAGAAATAACATTTAAGCCTCTCATCCCATGCCTTCTCTACCTTCTTGAGCACAAACAGGGGTTCTTACTGAGAGAAAAGAGATTCCTGGAATTTTCCAGCATGACTTCTCCATGGAGAGCTTTTTGGTCAGGATCCAGCTGAGACCACTCCTCCTCGGAGAAATACACGCCCACTTCCTCCAAAGACACAAAATCCTGAACAAGGAAACAAGTTTCCCTATTAACAGATAATCCCAAAAATAATTTGACAGGTTTCTTTCACCAGTTCTAGGAAAGAGATGCCGTGGACAAAATTTGCATCTTCCGCAGAATTCTGAATGAGATCTCACTACTTTTGGCTGATGGCACAACTGAAGCACATTTGATCAAGTAGGAAGGACTCAGAATGCCTTTTTTATTATTTTATAAATTTTCATTCATAAACATCTTTGAATAATAATGCATTGGCAGAGCATTATTTACAAATAAAACATGACCAACATACATTGGTAATAAATCTCAACATACAAATTAATAGCAATAGTAATGGTAGGATACCAGTACTAATAGCATAACCAAAAGAGTTGATCTAGATTTCTGCTCACATTAGATTAATTACATTTTTTATCAATTACTACATTTATATTTATCTACCTCTTTACTTTCAATATATATATTAATCTTCATAATCTTACTTTCTCTAATTTCTACCTTTTCTCTATCCATTCATATAATTTATTCCATGTCTGAATGTATTCTGAATCATCTTAGTCTTTAATTTTTAAAGTGAATCTATCCATTTCAGCACAGTCCCAAATTTTCCTAATTATAGCCTCGTCCAGTGGAGTATTCATATTTTTCCAGTATTTAGCATATGTAATCCTTGCTGCCGTCGATATGTATAACGCTAAATATGTGGTCGCTTTGTCAAAATCTTCTGATAGTATACCAGAATGCCTTTCAACTAAGCCAGTTAGCATCGCTTTCTTGGCCAATTGGTCTTAAACCTACTACTTATCAATGGCTTCCATTCTTCCTAGACTGAGCAGAAGGAAACTCAGGGAAAACCCATTTGAAATTTTTGCCAATGGTTTATTTATCAACGGACGGAACCAACTCCAGCCAAGATAACATCTGGTCAAGTGAGTCTGAGCTTGAAGCAGGAGAGTGGAGAAACCTTATCAGAAGGGACAAGTTAAGCTGAGTCTGAATTTTCAATGACCTAATCTAAATTTTGAGGTGCTTAGAAACAGCAACAGTATGCACTGAACTCCAGAACAAAATGAAACCGATCCAAGATTCATGGATTTTTATCAATGTTTCTCCTCCTACCTGAGGCAGAGGTTCAAGCACTCTTACAGCTCCACCAAAAACAGGAGACGGTTCTAAAAAATCCAAGGGCAGCTTTCTGTTCTCTGTGAGACAGAAAATGTTAGAAGCACGTTTTTTAAATACAGAGATTACAATCAAGAGGCGCAAAACTATCGACTGGATGTCCAAACCTGACATCACATGTAAGGTGCTTCTGTTACCTGGCGTGGTGTCCTGACTTTGATCTTTCTGGAAGCTGTCCCTGAATGGCAGCTCTTGAAAGAATTTGGATGACTCTTTCCTCTCCTTGGTATAATCGGATATATCTTCCAAGGACTTCTGGAGGTATTGTTCCGGGAGAAGCAAGGAAAGAGGGAAAGAAACGAATTATCACACTGCATTCTCAATCTAGCAGACCACAATATCCAACGCTGAAGCTGGAAAGCAAGAACAGAAGAATTGCCCCAAATATATCTTCTGGAACAAGAACTGAACAAGAACTGACTTTAGGAGGTTATAATTCCAGAAAACTCTGCCAGGGAGGAATTGACAATTTCAGAGAGATCCTCTTTAGAGGTGCCACGATTACATTCTCACACCTGCAACTCTTCTTGCACCTTTTCCAACTCCTGGGTCAGCAGGAAGCCTTCTGCCAAGTCCACCGCTTGGGAACTGGTCTCCGCTCCACACTCCCGTACCCATTTCTCCACCGTTGGGGGAAGGACAGCCAGGAACTGCTCCAGGAGAACCAGGTCCAGCATCTGAGCCTTGGTGTGTATTTGTGGCTTCAGCCACTGACAGCAAAGGCGGTGAAGCTGAGTGCAAACATCTCGGGGACTCTTCCCCCCCTGGAACTGCACTTTGCTGAAGTCACAACACTGGACCTCTGAACTGCTGGCTTCATTGTTTTGGGTCTTCTGGCCAGGATTTGCCCCATTCTTCCCACAGCTCTGAGGCTGAGCAACTGTGGGGCTTTTTCCAACTCCTGCATATGTTGGGTGTTGTCCTTCCATCTTCTCCTTGGCCAATAATCCAACTCCAAAATGAACTGATGGATCTCTACACGACTTTGTTTGCACAAGAAGTCTGGACAAAACTCCCAAGGCCTTCAGCGCTATTCCTTCACAAGATACTTAAGCCACCAAAGGAACCAGGAAAGATTTCCAACTAACAAATCTGAAATGGAAAACATGGGGTGCTTAATAGGGTGAACAGCCGAACAGCCTCCACCTCCTCAAAAAAAAATAAAAACCCTCTCAAAATAAGAAATTCTTATGAAGTCTCAATGTCTGGGAAGAAGGCAGGAATCTTATTAGGAAGACTGACTTTCCTATGTTTGAAGAAAATTCCAGTGAGCCCTTTTGTATCAGCTACTATCGCCTACTGGATGAATGTGTTAAAATAGGTTTTGGATTTCTGTCCCCTAATTATTTATTCACCTAATTTCAATGGCTGCTTATAAATTTAACAACTGTCTCAGCACAATCCAAATCAAAATGTCTAGAGCCATTGAGATGAGAAGCTATCTAAATCAATTTAATAACGAAACCAATGAATGTTTAGTCTAGTACATAAAGCTTTAACTAACAGAACCCCGTTAACCTCCTGGCCATAAGCCCTGGGTGTTTATTAATTAATTCAGAAGCCAGAATTAACAAACCACCATTCAGCACACATAGAACTAATATCCGAATGAATAAACCATCTATGCCAGTGGTGGCTAACCTTTTTGGGCTCCTGTGCCAAAAGTTGTGTGTGCGCTCACACGCTCGCGCTCCAGCACCCAGAAAGCAATGTGCCCCCCATGCCCCCTACACATGTGCACTCAACCCAACCACCCACTGCCGCCCTGCACTGCGCCTCACAGCTGATTTTTGGCAGGTTTGAGGCTTTTTTCAGCCTCCCAAAGGCTTGAGGAAGACTTCTGCAGGCTTTGCAGGCCGAAAACTACCCCCATTTCATCATTTCCAGTAAGTGACGAAACTAGTTTTCGGTCTGCAAAGCCTGCAGAAGTCTTCCTCAAGCCTTTGGGAGGCCGAAAAGGACCTCAAACCTGCCAAAAATCAGTTGTGAGCCGTGCGCATGTGCAGTGAGGTAAGTTTGCCCACAGCTTGCGTGCCGGCACAAATGGTTCTGCGTGCCACCTGTGGCACGCATGCCATAGGTTTGCCATCACGGATCTATGCTTTAACGTGAAGTTTTGAAATTCGGGCACATCCTTGGAAACATTTCCCACTTTTAGCCTAATCCTGTCTTTTTTTCAAAATTGTCCAATTGAAAACGTCCTGATTTAAACTCCAGGAACTTACACTGGCCAAGATTTTAAAAAAACAACAACTACACTGGCCTAATCGAACAAACAGTGTGTGAATGATGGACCTCAGCCCCAGGCGCACCTCTGTCCTCCAGCGGGGAAAGCAGGAACCCGAGTCTTTGCACCCCTTGCACGCAACTCCTTGCACACGCAGTTGCAGCCTTGCATGCAGAGAGCCAGCAAGAAGGACTCAGACCTCTCGCTTCCTCCGGGTCTAGGAAGTGGGGGCGGGGGGGAGAGGAGGAGAAGGCAGGGGAAATGGTCCTTTCTGAACACGGGGCCAAGACATTGGTAGGAAATTGTCCAGGCGTTAAGCCTGACTTGAAGCAACAAATCTGCAAAGTCGACTTTACCTCCTCTCCCCACCCCGCAGCTACCCACGCAGGTTTTCCCCCACGAAACGGAGGCTAAACGTGTCTCCCACGTTTCTAGATAGCCTGAGCTGGTTCCCCACCCTCTCCGGGGTCACAAGTTTTTGCTTTCTACCCTATGTGGCCCGTGCACGCCCAGGGGAACATAGGAACCCTCCCCCGGGTTTCCTTCTTTCTCACGACCTCGATCATTTACGTGTCTCCTAGAAACCCTCCGCCGCGAGATAAAAGACCCACCGAGCTCACTGAACTCCGGCTCACGAGTGGATCGCCATCCGCTAAAATCTTCCTTGACAGGCTCAGGGGAGATAAAAGCTCCGCCTAAACGCTCGCAACGAGGCGAGAGCAGAATCGGAAACTACAGGAAAAACTGACGCTCTTCCAACCTTTTCCCGGAAAAAAAAAAAAAAAGCCCCGAACGTCAAGCGTATCTCTTGAACGACAGAAACATCCATGCGCATGCTCAGTTCACTCCTTGAAGCGGAGTGGGAAGGCGGGTGGAGGCAGTTTGATTTTTTCCGACGGCTGCGGACAGAGCCCCCTGCTGGATTCTGCACGCAATTGCCGCAGTTTTCCGCGAGGGGAGAAACGGTTATATGGTCCCTATGGGCCTGGGGATGATGGGTCTGGGAGTCGAAAATGAGGCAAAAAACCCCAAACCAAACAAAACAAAAATCCTGTCAGAAACGGCAGGGCTGTCAAAAGACAAGAAATCAGGAGCCTCTCTTGATGAAACCCAGCTTTTGTCTTTGTGACTGATGGCAAAGTCGCGAAATGAGGGGAGGATTTGTGGGGGGTGGGGGTGGGTGGGAAAGCACAAGATTAGGAAAATTAAGGTTTATATTGATTCTCCAAGTTTGACAGCCACCCTTCTCAAATCCATGCCTCTGGGTGGCTAAAGGAGAGTTGGGAGCAGCAAGAGGCAGCCTGTAATAAGGAGAGCAATCGTGAGAAGAAAAGATCCTGATGAAAAAGAGGCATTGAAGTAAAACAAGTCCCAAAATGGAGAAAAAGCTGAAACCCATGGAGATTTTAGAATTTTTTTACCTCAGAACAAAGCGCTATGATGGAGAATGGGAGAACGCATCTCATCTGTGACTGGAGAACAAGTGGCGTTACAAAACGAAGAAGAGAAGAGAATGATAACTTTATTGTCACTTTGAATGTACACTAATCGGCATATATTCACATGAAATTTCACTGCATACAGCTCTCAAAGGATCACCACCTCCAATATACATTACATAAACATGACAAAATAAATAGATACAAAACTATGCATATACCCACATATATTATGGGACTCAGAGAAACAACACAGTCTGGTTCAGATATATTCATGTACGTGGTGAGAAAAACGAATCTTGTGAGTTTACCAGATGGATGGCATAGGGAACACAGCTGTTTCAGAATCTGGTAGTTCTGCTAGAAATACTTTTAAACTTCCTCCCAGAGGGGAGCAACAGAAACAGACCGTGATATGGGTGTGTGGGGTCTCTAACAATGCTTTGAGCTCTAAGCACACAGCACTTATAAGCAGTATCCTGAATAACAGGAAGTGATTTTCCTATAATCTTCTCAGCTGTCCTTACCACTCTCCCTATGGATTTTCTATCTGAGGCACTGCTGCCACCAAACCAAACAATGATGCAGTTTGTTAGAACAGAAAAGGAGGCAAATACTAAAAGTAAATACCAAGTTCAAATACTATAAGGCCCCCTCCAAAAAAAGACAACAAAAATAGGTTTATTTAGGTGCTGAATAGGAAAATTGCGGCAGGAAATATAAATCATAAGCTTAAGACCTTCAAAGGAAAACAGAGGTGTCAAAATGTTGGCCCATGGGCCAGATGCGTCACATGTAGGCCACGCCCACCCCAGCTCCACCAAAAGGAAAAACATCGCGAAACATCACACAACGGCAATGTGACATGACAAGTTTGACACCCATGAAGTAAAAAAAAGTCGTGTCAAGACCGACTTGCACTTTCACCTACACACACAGCTTGACAATAACAGGGAGGGGGTGGATGGAATGCAAGGGTGGGAGAATGATATTCAAGAATCCGTCAGCACCCTGGGACATTGCTGGAATGTTTCCCATAACAAAAACGAACAGGAATGATTGGTGGACATTATGAACTGTGGGTGGCCTGTAAAGAAAAGGAGAAATTAACTATGCCTACTTTTGCGGGGGGAATCCCAGAGCTGGTTTCGTTTCTTCTGCGTCAATGTGGTTTATTCCATAAAGTTTTGTACTCTTGATAAAATAATGTCCCAGGAGTTTCTTTTTCTGGATTCGCTAACTGGACAGTTGACAGGTCCTTTTTTTTTCTTGCCAAAAGAAATGATGGCTTTACTGTTTTGAAGAGTAGTCTGCATTTGAAACTGGCAGTGCAAGAAAAGAAAGAGATTTTGCCACAATTAACAATGAATGTGAACGGAAGGAAAATTAAGAAGCGGTTTTTTAAAAATGGAATTAACTTCTCTCTCTTACCAACAGCATGGCTCTTTTTGGCCTTTTTAAAAAAAAACTTATCAAGGCTTCTTCTATCTCTAACCTTCTCCTCCTTCTATCTCATTTTGTTTTCCCTAATGAAAAATAATTAACAAAATTGACGGAAATGGCCACAGAACAAAAACTGGTGCCCTTTCTACAATCTCAACCAGAACCAATGATGGGCAATATTTCAATAAATAGCTTCAAACCACCATGAACTGCCAGGTGCAAGAAGTCAGGAATTGAAAAGTACCAGATGTTTATTTCATGTTACCTACACACAAGAATCTGAACTAATGAACTGCAAATTGATACCAGGTAAGAGTGAACACACTTCAAAGGGGGGATGGACAAAGAAAAGAAAATAAACTCATCAAATTTGCAAATGACAGTTTGCAGTTGTTGAACCAGGTACCATCTATTCTATACCTGTGCATTTGGTTTTTCTTCCTAAGTGTAAAACCTTACTTTTCTCACCACTGAACTGCATTTTATTGAATCGAGACCAGTGTTTAAGTTTGTCAAGATCATTTTAGAACTTGAGTGTAATCATATGGACACAAATCTGCAATAAGATTTTTAAACCAGCCATTTCTTGTCTCCTCTTGATGAGATTATCAAAGTTCCTCTAAAGGGTTTTTGTGAGAGAACTTGGGAGCTGCTTTTATCTTCTCTAAAACTTTTGCACTGAAAGGACAGTTTCCTGTAGCTCAACTAAAGGGGTAAATTATGATCCTAGGTTTTCTGACTTGTAACCAAGGCAAAGCCTTGGCTACTGTTGAACTCCATTGCGGGATTTTACAGTATCCTTCCCCTGGAGTGGGGAGGGAATGGAGATTTTACAGTATCCTTCCCCTGCCACGCCCACCAAGACACACTACGCCCACCAAGCCACGCCCACAGAACTGGTAGTAAAAACAAAAATGAATCCCACCACTGTAGGTGACTTTTAACCTATCTCTTTCAGCCCAACCCATGTCACAGGGTTGTAGTTGTAGGGGAAAATAGCAGGAGGAAGGGATATTGGGTATATCTGCCGCCTTGAGTTATTTCCAAATATTAATGAAGGCGGGTTATAAATGAGTGATCCTTTTTATCAGAAATAAAATCTAAATTCCCACCTTCTCTACATTTCTACCATAGACAGAGGTTCTTACCCAGAGAAGCCAGATTCCTAGAATTCTCCAGCACTTCTCGGTGGAGTGCTGTTGGTCAAGATCCAACTGAGGCCACTCTTCCTTGGAGAAATATACAACACCTTGAACAAGGAAACAAGTTTCCCTATTAACAGATAATCTCAAGAATAATTTGACAGTTTTCTTCCACCAATTCAAGAAGAGAGATCCAGTGAACAAAATGGGCATCTTCTGCAGAATTCTGAATGAGATCTCTCAACTTTTGGCTGACAGCACAACAACTGGAGGCCATTATGGGTGGGAAACCTTCCCTTTTCCCTCATGCTCAGAATTCTGGGAGTTGAAAACTCAGACAGGCTTTAATTTTTCACTGTCTGCTCACCTGGGATAGCCAGCCCTTCTTGACTGGTGGCTTGACATAAGCCTTTCCTCATTCGTTCCCTCTCCATTAAAATAGAAGAGGGAGTGGGATTCTTCGCTTGTCCCAGTGCAGCCTTTTCCTGCCCTTTCCTTGAGTGAGGAGTGGCTCTGATGCTGAGAAAACATTGTGTTTCTTCCTGGTTTTGAATCAGGGCCCTTTTGTGTGTGAGGCAGCTGTGATAACCACTACACCACAGAAACAGACTGTTCTCATCCGGCATGCCCATATCTTTTGCTGGCCATTCCAGTCTGATATCTACAGCATCAGAGGGGTTAAGGAGATGTTATTCTTTATGTTTCCTCCCCCTTTTGCATTCTGGAAGGTAAAAAATAAGATAAGTATTTAAATCCTAGTGAGAAAAAGCATTGACAGCGTGGGAATCAAAGCCCACAGACCTGCACCTCTGAATCATGCCACCGAGCAGGCTATCCCTGGGTAGGCTCGAACCACCATAATTCTGGTTAACAGCCAGATGTGCTAATCCCTTGCACCACAGAGACTTGGCACGGGGCTTGGCATCAGCCTCTCTCAGTCAGGAGATGCATACCTAGTGCCAGGGCTTCTTTTTGGCTTTGGTAGTGTGGCTTTTTTCTCCCACCGAAAATAAAATCTGGGATGAAAGCTAGAAGGGATTATTCTTATACTACATTGGTATAAGAAACTGTGTCTTCTGACCAGCATATCTTATTGCTTATTGACTATCCAGCCTCAGCTACAGATGCTCAGGTAGAAGGAGCCGAAGGGGAGGCCTGCGTCAGGTCTCTGTGGCGCAATGGGTTAGCGCGTCTGGCTGTTAACCAGAAGGATGGTGGTTCGAGCCCACCCAGGGACGGCCTGCTTGACGATTCAGAAATGAAGGGCTGGGTTTTGAATGCACCAGGCTTTCCACGTGAGAGCTTCAATTCCCATCCTGACAATGCTTTTTTGTTACTGAGGCATAAATATTTGTTTATCTGTTGTATCAGCTTTATCTTCCAACATGCAACACCCTAAAGCAGGGTTGAGCAATGACGGCAACTTTATGACCTGTGGACTTCGACTCCCAGAAGTCCAAAATTCGTAATGTTGCCATAGTTGCCCAATTCCGGCCAGCTGTATCTTTCTGTGGGCTTCTGCTGGACAACCGGAAGAGCTGGAGCAATGTCCCTGATAGGTTGAACCTGCGCTGGGCGCTCTCCGTGGTCCTGAAGCACTTGCCCTTTTTCCGTAACAAGCTCTTTCTTGGTGCCTGCCCTTATACTATCGACGGCTGGCTTTCCCGGGGCTCCTTGAATTAGAATCAGAATCAGAATAGAGCTGGACCTTGGAGGTCTTCTAGTCCAACCCCCTGCTCAAGA